AATAATTCAGAAAATATTCATATATTATTTTCTGAATTATTCTAAAAGTTTGTTTCAGGTGATCAAATTATCCCATCAGTGGTGCTTAAGATAAATAAAAATAAAAAGTATGATTTTTTTTTTTATTTTTCTATATGAATAAAAAAAACAGAAATTCTGCTTAAGATTTCAAAATATAGACACTTCCAAATGTTACACTACAGCACTCTCTAGTGGTAAAATGTTAAGATCTGTCTAATGTTTAAGCTTCACCGTTTTGTCAACTTCAGTCATGTCTTTGAATAGGCATGAATATGTATTCCAATCAGTCTTTATGAAAATGAGCAAGGTCTATAAGACTTATTTGGCCGTGTCTAGTAAAATGATATAAATAACAGCTGCTTTCACATACAAAGACCAGCTAAAGTCTAATTAAAACTAGGTAACTAGGTCCAATCCTGCAATAAACCATCAATACTGGCTATAATGCTGGCTCTGTTTTCAGGACAAATCTAAGGCAATGAATGGAACAAGGTCATCACTAATCTGGATTGGTAAGTGGTATCCTTACCTTCAGCTGAGGGATTCCCCAGCAGTTTGGTGACATCCTTGTTGGTGGGGTTCTGTCCCAGAGCGCGCATGATGTCAGCGATCTGGTTGTACGCCACCTTGTTGTCACCCACCCTGTCGAACAACCCGAAGGCCTCTCTGTAGTCTATCCAGAACAATGAGAAGAGAATAAAATTACCTTTTTGCTCCAGTGTTTTTGCTGTAATTGTAAATAATTTAACAAGTGTGTCTGTAAGTAAGAGCTGCCTAAGATTAACTGTTCATGTTGTATATATTTAAAAGTGCCATCATTATATGGTGTATTGATTAATATAAAAGTGAACTGAATCCTTTTGTCATTATTTTTTCCTGCTTAAAAAGTCCTACTTTTTATTCAACTATCTAGATACCAACTTTCTGCAAATTCAACTCTATGCAATCAGTTTAAAATTTGACTTTAATTCAGTTTATTAATTATAGTGTGGTAATATTTTTTATTTCTCAGATTGTTGTAACTGAGAAATACTGTAGATACAACATTGCAGCTGTTGCACGATTGCCAGTAGGTGGAAGTAGTTACTCTCCTAAATGAAAAGGGTAATGCACAAGCGCAAGATGTCTAAGAAGCCTGCAGTGTTGCTGGCTGAATGGACCCACTGCTGCTGAGCTCTGTCACCCCTTACACTATTTCTGTCTCAGCTGTCTCCTTCTGTCACAGTGGGGCTCTTTTAAAAGACCACCTTGGAATTGATAAACATAGCTGAGAACACGAGCCCCTCCTTTAAAGGCAAGGCCCTCTGTGGGTGAAAGCAGAGCAAAAGAAGGCAGTGCTGACTTTAGTGCAACATGCAGACAGTCAGGCTACGAATCTGGTCTTGGAACGACCAATAGGGCTTCCAGCACACAGGTGCATCGTTTTGTCAAAGTCATGAGTGCTCCTAAATTATTCCACCTATCTTTAAATATATTTAAATTTATTAAGCACACCAAAGCCAAATCATCATTAATCATTTCTGAAATTTTAATATTAACTAGTGTTGTTTTTTAATTCATTTGAAAGTGCTAGCTTAGTTCTTTTAGCTGCTATTTTACATCTACAGGCAAAGCCCAATCTCTGTTGAAACATTTAAGTGTCAGAAGATAATTATATTCTTTCTTTCTGAAAACTTTTTTCTTCCAACAAAATGTACTCCTGTCTACTTTGCATGTCATTTTAAACATGACACAA